CCATGTCATAAAGGCTTAGTCATGTCTCTTGACCAACCAATGAGCTGGTGCCCTGACAGAGTTCCACATCTAGGTGCATGAAGCTAATTTGTTGTGATGAAGGCTGCTCACAACTTGTACAGCTCTTTGCCCTCTGCCATCCTGCCCCCCTCCAACCCTCTCTCCCTACTGCTGTGCCTCATCCAGAGGGACAGCATGGGCAACCTTTAGCTACCTGTTTAGGTGCTCAAAGTCAGTGCCTGCTCAAGTCTTGCAAAGCACCTTGCCAACTAAGGCTCCCCACCAACCCCATCTGCCCCCGGCATGATAATCAGAGAAATCAAATGAACTTTGCAAGTCCAATGTATTTGCTCCCAAGCCAACCAATGTATGCCCATTGCATGAGGAGAGGCTGATCACCCCTTGGTCCTGAACAGTCACCTTGTGGGTTGTGCAGACCTCCCTCTGGAGGTCTGCAGACTTATGAGGCAGCTGGGAGGTGACTTGGGCTGACTGACCAAGCATGTTGGCATGGACCTCCCTCTGGAGGTCCTAGCTGGCAAGGGCATAGTGCAGGGTTTGATTTGCTTCTGCCCATGAGCTGGACATGCATGATGCATGAGTGGACTGGGTTATGCATGCTCATGCTGACAGTGATGGAGAGGAGGTGGAGGCAAGCAATGCAGATGGGGAAGGTAAGGAGGATGCAGATGAGCAATAAAGAGGAATATGAGGATGATGGTCAAGATGATCAAGATGAGGATGATGGGGAGAATCAACCCCTGCTCCCCTCTGCCCTCTGGACTATGTGGTTTTGCTCCTTTGTCAATATGGAGAATATGAAGACATAGGGGTACTTTGACCTGCTGCACAAGATACTGCAATGCAACTGTGACCCTCCCATCCTGCCTCTTAAGTTTCTTGCAGTGTACATTCTGAGCATTAAAACATGTGACATCCTCCATCATACAACAGGGGTTGTCTGCCCAACAGACCATGTTCTTGTTGCAGAGTCTATATTTTGGGTTGTGGATAATGCCACAAATGGAGATCCAAAATGGCCTCATGCCACCATTGACAAAGCTAGGGAGCAGCTTGACCAGGGGAAGCAACCCAGGCAGCCCTTCTACTCTGGGTGACAGGGTCAGAATGGAATTGTGGTATTTTGTTGACATCACCTGGCAGTTAACAATGGCTGCCTGGGGAACTGAATGGATTGTGTCCCCTGTGATGGGTCCTAAAGCTATCTGTTGCCACCAGGGTGGAAGCTGTTTTGCTTGGCAGGGCAGGGGAATGTCACTTCTGAGTGCAGAGAAGCATGTCTGAAAGTGAATTTAGTGGGGAATGTGAGTTGTGTGCTCATGCACCAAGGGTCCAGTTAGGTCACACACCCGCTGGGCTTCTTTGCAACAGCCTCACACACCTCCATATAGGATGTGGACATGGAAGCAAATACTGCAACGTTGCATGGAATGCCAGGTCCAGCACCTGCCTTTGCCTGCAGACTTGCAAAATTTGGGTCTTGGCAATTGCCCAAAAACCAGGGCAAGACAGTGCCCTAGTTTACTTTGCATATACCCAAGGGTGGGACTGATCTTGTCTGATATTTACAAAATTGAACAAAGGTAACTTTTGCTGCCTCTGTGATGACAATCTCATTATTTGAACAGAGATCCATTTCATCTTGGAGTTGAAAGAAGGGCAAATTATGCACAAAGTTCAGTCTTGTCTCAGGCAGAGCAGCTTTGGTTATTCACTGCCCTTTGTAGCTGTATAGCATCAAGTGGAGTCATAACACTTTTAGGTATGTCTCTCTGCTTGTTGTGAAGCTTCTGCCAGCTTATTGTTTCTTCAGTGTCATATGCAGTCAGTTCACATATGAGGAAGGGACTGAGACTGGAATCCCTGATTGCATGACAAACAGCTTCAATCACAAAGTGCTTGCTCCTGGGATAGCCTGCTGCATCCAGGGTCCTTGTGCTTGCTCCTACATTCTTCACCAGTGTGAGGATGCATGGTCCAACCAACTTGTCAAAGCTAAATAGCATGTCTCTGTCAAAATCTCATAGTCAAACTGTTTTGTCTTGCCATGAAAAGATTGTATGGACCAGTATGCTGATATAGCTCATGAGTATTGATGACACAGCTGAGCTGACACTGCGCTATAGTGGCTGATCAGCATGTTGGACCATAAGACTGAAAACTGGCATGGCTTTGACTTGCCTGTTGAGTAGAAAGAGGAATACTCAGGTGAAAGCATCTTATACTTCAAGCTGGGAGCAAAAGACTTTCCAGATGATGGAACAGAGCCAAGATGGGAGCCAGAAGCCAATACCAGACAAGATACAAATGTTGCAGATAAAAGGGAAGACAGTAACAGCAAATCCCAATCTTTTTGTAAAGCCAATGTGTCAGGGGACATCCCTAAAATCAATTGTGAACAGCTGCAATCAACAACAATCAGAGCACAGTCACATGGCACAACACCCCAAACAACAGCTGATACTACAATCACCTGACCCCAGGAAGGACAGATCCCAGAATGTGAGACATCAGTCATAGATCATATGGGACTGACCAGACAAGAGACATGAGGTGCCTGCCCTAAGCAAGCTGTATAGTCAGCCACAGACTTTGCTTCCTTTTTACTTCCATACCTAGACATATATAGAACCCTAGGTATAGCCCCTGTAGCTCTTTAGAGCTAATCTCTTAGGATGTCAGGGCACCAGCTCATTGCTTGGTCAAGAGACATGACTAAGCCTTTATGAGATGCTCCCACTTTGTCCTCTTGGACACCCAGATTGACCCATGGTGATCACCTACCTCCCCATTCCTGATCTTGTTGAGCCACCTATCAATACCACATTGTCCACTCCTCTCAAACTACTGGTAGCATTGGGTCTTCATTCTGGTATGTTGCCCCTCCAAAGACAAGTGCCATGAGAATCTTGCTCATATATGCACTAGTCAGCAAAGCTGTCTATAGCAGTCAACCTTCTCTTCTGCAGCACATCACACCATCAGTGATGCATCCATTCAAATTTGGCATGCCAACTTCTAGACTGGATCCAAGTTTAGCTCCTAATGGTAGAAGGAATGCCTATTACTAAGAAAGCACTACCCTGTCAGGGCACCAGCTCATTGGTTGGTCAAGAGACATGACTAAGCCTGTATGACATGGAAGTAGCTGGTATACCTTGGCATGTGCTGGAACCTGCTGGAAGGATTGGATGGTCAGGTGACCTGCTGTGCATGGCTGTGCATGACCTCATATGACCTCATCCTTGGTCATATGACCTGATCACCTGACTAGGCTGAGTAAGCAAGATGTTCTAGCAGGTTCCACCACAGAGGTATAAATATAAGGCCTACTCTGCCTGGGACTGTCTCTTCAGACTTGGTCTCTTAGGATCATCCACAGGTACCTATACTGTAGATAGGTCTTAGTCATCAGGTCTACTCCACTTCCTTGTTGCCTGCTTAGACTCTTGGCACTCTTAGGTGAGCAGACTTA